GGTCTGGATAGTTTTTTTTGGTTATACTTTATTTCGATAGTCCACTTTAGACATTCTACTAACTATAAGTAACTTTGCAACTACATGTCAACTAATTCTCATTAATTTGCAACTACATGTCTACTAACTCTCAGAGTAGACTGTTAGGGTAGGTTTAGGGTTAGTAGAATAAGTTGACAAAGAAAGTGTTAGAAGATATTAAGCAGACAGTCTACTAATACTCTACTAACTGCTAGTTGACATGTAGTTGCAAAGTTACTTGCTGTTAATAGAATGTCTAAAGTGGACTATCGAAATAAAGTGTTACCTTTTTTTTTTAAGTACAAAAATAAAAATATATTTCATTTATAAATTGAAACTAATTTTATGAAGTATACTTTCTACGTGTTCCACAAATATTCAAAGCTGTGCATTTAAGGAAATTGTGCAATAGATTAATAAGGGTAACTTTTTTTTGGACCCCAAAAGCAAATGTTTATTGAAGTCTAGTTGGAGAAGAGTTTACACTTGCCATGAATGACTTGATCTTTCCTACAAAAAAATTAAATTGTCAACATATGTATTGCTATGCATATGTACCAAAAGAAATTCCATAAATGTAGGAAATACTTTGTGGTATAAATATAAAAAAAAATTCATCTCAGTTCAGCAGTAATGGATTAGAGATAGATAGATAGATAGATAGATAGATAGATAGATAGATAGATAGATAGATAGATAAATAGATAGATAATCATTAACATATATATTCAGTTCAGAACCTATTGAATATTTATAAAACTCTATATGCAATATTTAGGACAGTAGGAGTGTTTATGGCCAAATGAACTAGCACCACCTAGTGTTTAGTTATGATTCAAGACAAGAAATCTTTACATTTTAAATAGATAGAGTCAGCTCCTGCAAGAAAAGCAGATAAATACATTTGACTGAACGCTTGAAGCATCATTGCTGCATTTTTAAATCCTTAAATAACAAACGTAATGGCATTCAGATGTTTTCTCTCAAATCCACAGCAGATTGTAAAAGTTTAATTAGTTATGTCAACTACTGTGATAATCGCTTGCACCAGTGTTTCTCAACCCTGTCCTGGAGCCTCAACACTACACGTTTTAAGTGTTTCCTTAAACAAACACACCTGATTCAGGTCACCAGCTCATTAGGAGAGACAAAACCTGAAATTAATATGTCAAATAAAAGAGACATTAGGCTCTTTTGAGATGAGCACATGCCAGAACATCACTGAAACGCAACAGTGAATTCACACAGAGAAAACCTGAGCTGGTGTAAATTTCTACTTATGATTCATTTTCGCATTTTAACATATAGTGACCAATGATGCTGTAAAAAACCTTGACCTTCTTGACGCAAGACACAGCTGAGCTGTCGTACAGCTATCCTGAGAACAGGAGAATAAGATAAGAAATAATTAAAACTCTCCTTCTATACAAAACACTTGATTCATGTGACTGCATAATGATCAAATTACATTAGAAAAAAAATGTCTAATGATGTTAAGTGGGGTAAAATGTGTCCTGATGTAGGCATTTATGTAGACTGCTTCATTGCCATCTCTGCGGAAACTGTATGATTCTTTGTAAAGTTGCCATTGTTTAGCATTTGAAATATATACAGTAGATACTGTTTTAATTAGGAGAGTGAATGTGACATATGCTACTGATACTTTTTGATAGTTTTTATACTGTGGCAAAGACAAAAAAGCCGGACCGACCCTATAGCATTTTGGGGGCCCTAAACAGATTTCAAGATGGGCCACAATATACTCGTCTTTCACTGACACAGACTACATCAGACAACCGTAATAGGGATAATATGTCAAATTAACAATAAGTTATGTGTTGTTACAATGTTGTGTTTTAATTTTTTTAACTTAGTTATATGTGTTTAGACACAATACACTAATTCCATTATTCATAAATTATTAAACAACCATGATAATGACAAACACAACGTGCGTAGGTGAAATTAATAAATAAATATTTCAAATAAAATCCTAAGACCGTGGAGAGCAAATAAAAAAAGCACACAAACTTTCCAATTACAGATAATAAAAATAACTAAATAGTTTACAAAACGACATTTCACAACTGAACTGAACAAGATATTGTTACCGAGTAAAGTGAATTATGCCATCAAGGAAAGCTCTATTGTTGCCCAGGCCTAAATTCTTGCCTGTCTTGCCTTTTTGCTTGCAAAGTCATGTATTACATCATCACAGGACAGCTGGCTGCCAACATCATGACTGATGCTAATTATGGCAAGAGCACTCAGACGTTCTTGTGCCGTTGAGGATCTGAGGTCAGTTTTTATTAGCTAGAGCTTTGATGCCACTGTCACTGGCAGAGTACATGGAATGTGAATAGCTACCTAAAGGTTTGCATATAACTCACATATGCCTTTATAATGCAAGTAGTTCCATGACAAGGTCTTTCCAATCAAAGCTGCTGGCATACCCTATATCTGAGCATCAAGATTGTGAAAGTTATTTAGAAAGTTAGAAAGTTATCTAATCTGATTCAATGATCTATGCTAAGCTACAGCTAAAAGTGCTACCGCCAGACCCGGAGATCGGCTGAATGGATTCGAAAACGGTAAAACTCAACTGTTTAACTCTAGGGGGGTTGGAAAATGAGCCTATTTTCAAAAATAGTGGAGTGTTCCTTTAAGCTAAGAGAAAGGGGGCGGGGTTGACCTCGTTACTATGGATGATGTCAGCATGCTTACTAACTATGCACACAGTGATTGGCTGATAGTCTCTGTCAGAGATTTATTCATAGAAATATTGCAAAGCGCAATGTTATGTTGCCATATTCAAATAAAGATTTTAAAATAAAAATGTTAATTGCCACATTCAAAGAAAGATTTTAAAATGCAGGCTAAGTGTGCTTATGCTTCCCGTAAACAATTAGTGACTATGCATATAAACAGCCTTTCAATTAACAGAGTAGAATAATCATGGCTGATAGTAAGACGTGCAAATGTAAAAGAAAATCAAACTGGACGCAAGCACAGCTGTTACTTCTTGTCCAACTGGTTAATGAAAACAAGGACTCTTTTTCCTTTAAAGATGATGTTGCATTGATGTTTCCTAATCAAAGGAAAATCTGGAGTTGGAATAACCTCCAAAACCAAAGGTGATACATTAAAAAAGCTCATTATCGTCAAATATTTCTAAAATATTTACGTTCCGAGGCAGATTGCCGGCAACAGCCATTTTAGAGTAGTTTGTGGCTTGGTCTTAGTGACTTGGGAGTCCTCTTCACTACTCCTAACCTTTCACAGATTTAGGAGCTAGTTTTAGTGCTACAGCGCTTTGTGAAATACTCTTAGAGCAAAATTTAGGAGTGACGCCCATTATTTTTAAGATTTTCTCCTAAATTGACGAGATATGAGCTACTTTTAGACTTAAGATGTTTTGTGAATACGGGCCCTGAAATCTGAAGGATCCTCTTTCGAGTGACTGGGCTTCAGTCCTGTTCAATCTTTAGTTTTCTCCCTCACCTGTAGATGTGATATCAGCATGATCTTTGAAAATGGCTCTCCAGTGGGTTTCAGCTGCAAGAAGAGTGAACAAATTCTGTACAACTTCAAACAAGTCGCTACTTGAGGAGACACGACTCACAAGTAAACCTCATCTGAACACACGGCATGGGGCCCCCTGGTGGACACAGGGTCCTTATGCAGTCGCTTATGTCTTTAAGTTTTATTACTGGACTTGCTGATGCAGTGAAAACCTTGTTTCCAGACTCCTGCGGCCCTGTCTTTCCATGGGCCTGATTTAACCTTTTCTTTGCAATTTACATTTATGCATTTGCCAGGCAATTTCATCATACTGTGGCTTAAGACAAAGACAGCTTCTCTTAATCCGAGTATTTAAAAGATGTGTTTTGTGTCACGCTTGACTATTGTCATGGCTGTCAGGTTGTGTATTGTCAAAATCTTCACTTAGCCAACTTTGATGGTTGTAGTGCATGTGATAATGACTAATCTTTGCAAAACAATTCACACTGGAATCGATAAAAAAGTGTATTTCGTTCCACACACATGCTTCATAATCAAGTCATTTATTCATATATTTAATAAAGGATGACATTGCATTGTAAACATGCATGACATTTGTGCAATATTGCAATAGGTTTGTGCATAACTGCGAATCATTTCAACCATTAGCAACCGAATAAAAGAAACAGTATTTATGTTGTTCTGGAGTCCAGGAAGTTTATTTTAAGATAGCTGCCTATAATTTATATAATAGAACATGATTTTTTTTATTTTTTATTTATGAAATGATATTTATGATATAGGCTAAACCATAAATAGACTTTTTTTGTTTATAAATTAACAATGTATTGGTATGAACACACACTTTATTTAAAATAAACAGCACCTTTTCTCCTTGTGCAGTGTTTTGACAATTTCGAAAAAGAATATTTTTTTCATGAAGAGTGTTAAATAATTAAATTAGTTTTAAGGATTAAAGTGGGTCAGCGAGAAAATTAAAGCAACGACTTCTAAGCAGCTGTTCGGTGTTCCTTATCAGAGTGGATTCCGTAGGGGTCGGAATACATGTACTGCTTCATTGCAGGAAATACAACAAAGAAAGATGCCATTTTATTCAGTCATTAAAGAAGGTTGATCACAAAGACTTCTCTATAACTGGTATTCTAGGGGAAAAGGCTATATATGATTACATCATTAAGTTTATTAAAGAAACGAAGTTAAGTAAAATAATTTTAAAAAGTTTTATTTTTTTTATTATTATTTTTTTATTTTATTTTAGTTATTTATTTTATTATTAATAAAATGAATAATGTTTTTTTTTCTTCTTCTCGCACTATGTCAATCCCATAAGCACGTATTCTGTTCCACACTCCAGTCCAATCAGTGGCGGTAATGCACCTACAAGTTGGTTTGCCAACCGCCAATAAACACCAAAGAAGAAGAAGAAGAAGCAGCTGTTCGGTGTTTTCACAATCACAACAAGCGCTGGGACTTTTATTCTGGAGGACACCAAATGCGGGACTCTTACTTTGACTCTCGCATGTCTTCTTGTTGCTGACTCTCCACGCCGAGCTGCTGCACCGGGAAAATGTCTCGAGTTTACGTGGGAAAATTGAGCTATCGCGCCAGAGAGAAAGATGTAGAAAGGTTTTTTAAAGGCTATGGGAAGATACTGGAAGTAGACCTGAAAAACGGGTATGTGATATTCTCTTTACTCGAGCGAACTGAATGTGCAGGCGAAGCAGCGATTGAGTCTTTAAGAAGGATAAACTCTTGTTTCTTTTGCTCCACACGATTCAAAAGAGAGCTCCAGAATGGATTAAATAGCCCTGATAATGATTTGCGCATAAAAATGTGTTTGGAAATATAAAATCGGAGTTTAATCCGTGTTTTTAAAGCAGGTTTGTTTTAGCGGTTTTAGCCCACCAGGCTAAACTCCATTGTTTCCAGGCTGGCCTCGATTGAGTGCTTCCTTTTGCCTTTTATAGCTCCAGTCACTAAAAATGAAATCTAGTTGACATTTAATTTATTTTATAAATACAGTAGGGTCCAAAAGTCTAAAGCCCTGGTGAAAATGCTTATATTTAGATTTTTTTTAAATTTATTTTTTTATTATTATTTTATTTTTTTACAAATGATATGATCAACAATTTGAGTGAAAATATGAGAATATTAATGAAAGCCGCGTTCTAGTTGCACGATGGTCAGGTTTTACGCAACGTGTGGAGTTCATGTTATCTAGCGTTTCAACTTTTAACCCTCTGTACGCCGTTAGTGCTTTTTTATGTGCTTGCTTGTGTAATTTGATTGAATTGTATTGTTCATAAAAATATGTAGGCCTATATGAAAGCGCAACGGTGTAAATAATGGCTGAGCTAAAGAAAAAAGGTACGAAGCTTTTGAGAACTCGTGCCTAAACTTGCTGTTTCATTAGGAAATGTGATCCTGGGCCACAAAACCAGTCATGAGGTTTAATGTTTTGAAATTGAGATTCATACATCATCTGAAAGCTGAATAAATAAGCTTTCGATTGATGTATGGTTTGTGAGATAAAACTATTTGAAAATATGGAATCTGAGGGTGCCAAAAAAAAAAAAAATCTAAATATTGAGAAAATCGCCTTTAAAGTTGTCCAAGTTAAGTCCTTAGCTATGCATATTACTAATCAAAAATTAAGTTTTGATATATGTACGGTAGGACATTTACAAAATATCTAAATGGAACATGCTCTTTACTTCATTTCCTAATGATTTTTGGCATAAAAGAAAAATCGATAATTTTGAGCCATACAATGTATTGTTGGCTATTGCTACAAATATCCCCGAGCTACTTATGACTGGTTTTGTGCTCCAGGGTAACAAATATATCAGTACAACAGAACATTTTACTTATCTAGCCATTTACAGATGTCTTTAAAAATTTAATTAAATATCTGAAAAGTCTGATTTGATGATTAGAGACGGCTGGATTTTGTGTTTGTTATATCATAAATCTCTCCATCTCTTCAGATATGGCTTTGTGGAGTTTGATGACCCCCGAGATGCAGATGACGCTGTGTGCGATCTGAACGGCAAAGACCTGTGTGGGAAGCGAGTGATTGTGGAGCACACCATAGGACAGCGGCGCGATGGTGGCACTGGCAGCAGATCTGGAAGAAGTAAGACACTCATTTACTCGCTCTTCCACAATACCATATACCAAAAACTACTTATGTGTCATAGGAACATCTTTTTCTTTGGTTGAAGTTGAATTGTACAAACACTGAATATTTTCAGGCTTCTCAAATGGAGAGTTTGGTGCTCCACATGCCCGTTATAATTTTTCATCCTTATACCAGAATAGTTCACTCAAAAATAAAAATGTGCTGTTAATTTACGCCATCTGCCATGTAGCTGTCATTTTCTTCTTCAGTAGAACAGTAAAGATTTTTAGCTGAAGTCGTGGTCCTTGTTTCGTTAAGTGTAAGTCAGTGGTTGCCTGTATTTGACATTACAAAGTAGGGCTGCACGATAAATCGCATGCGATATTTAACGTGCATCTTATCAGTAAAGCCGGTTCTGTAATCAGCGGTAAATCTCCATCACCTGCGGGCTTTCACATTGAGTAGCATTAACTACACAGAGCCGTTGTTCACTGACGAGCTGCGCAAAACCATGATCATATATGAACGCGATTTTTTGCGCAGCTCATCAGTGAACAACGGCTCTGTGTAGTTAATGCTACTCAATGTGAAAGCCCGCAGGTGATGGAGATTTACCGCTGATTACAGAACCGGCTTTACTGATAAGATGCACGTTAAATATCGCATGCGATTTATCGTGCAGCCCTATTACAAAGCATATCAATTACTGCCTGTGGCTCCTGACGACATATTGAGGTCTTATGAAGTGAAATGATCATCCTGTGCAAGTAATTGAACATTATTTACAACATTATTAACTGTATCCATAACCTCAGGCAACAGGGAAATCTGATTCTTTTCCGCAAACTGGTTCTTTCAGACCATTCGTTTCAATGAACTGGTTCAGTTCACTAGTTTGTTTACATAAACACGCAATGATGTAACACACACACACAATTATATTATTAAAGCACCCAATAATGATGTGAAACATGGTTGTTTTCCATGCCTTAAGCATGCAAAGTGAAGAAACTAGTCTTCATCAGTTAATCTTTCTGCATAAATGCACATATCACTAGCTCATTGGTCTACACGTTTTCATTTTTGGGTGAACTGTCCCGTTAAGAGTGTCCAGTCTCTGTATGAGAAGCCTGAAAATTGTATGTTAGGGTGTGTTCACACTTGTCATGTTTGGTTCGATTAAAACGAAGCCTGGTTCGATTGCTCTGTTAGTGCGGTTTGTTCGAGTAATTGTGAACGCTGCCATCCGAACCCTGGTGCGCACCAAACAAGCGGACCGAGACCGCTGAAAAGATGGGTCTCGGTCCGCTTCCAAACGAACTCTGGTGCGGTTCGATTGATATATGAACGCAACACGGACCAAATACTTCTAAACGAACCAAAAACAGGAAGTAATGACAAGATGCGACGCTATGCGACATGATTGGACGACGCGGTGTAACCAAAACAAAATGAGCAGAGGGCAAATGTGGAGCAACGGTGAGGTAAAGTGCCTTTTATGAGCTCTTCGTGAGTTTGCAGGTGGTGAAAATACAATATGTACACGCAAGAATGAGCGCACTTAGTCCAGCAGACGGCATTAGGTGTGTTCGACTTAAAGCGGCGCTGAGCAGACCGATCAGTTAATGGATGGCCGCTTTAAGTCTAACGCACCTTTTGTTTGGGGTGTTCGGTGAGTTGTTCCGTCACGATATATACGTCATTCCAGCCGACCAATCAGGTTGTGAACACATCACTATGCCTTTAGGTTCGCTGTCAAAAATGCCAATGTGAACGCTAAGCGGACCAGGACCAAATGTATCATTTTCCTTTTTGGTCCGGACCAAATGAACCAAACGAACCGAACTACAAGTGTGAACGCACCCTTAAATTCCAAACCTTACTACATATACAGTTTCTGTTGAACTTTTTTAGGGAGTGAAATTGTATGAGTGGTAATCTTTAGAATATTACTGATCGGTGATTCTTCAGTTGGGAGTATCTTGTATCTGTCCATACAAGAATATCTCAAATTTAAAAAAAGGATTTATCTCAAGTAAGCTCTCTCAAGTGTCCCTAAATGAAGAATCACCTTAATGAGCTAGTAATTCTGAGTATTGTAGTTTCTGCTTCACTATATGCAGATTATAACGGTTGCAATATAATGATTAAGTTATTTATTTATAAATGGAATAACTTATAATGTCAAAGCTAGAAATTTAACACTCAATGTTTTATTAAAAGAGTCTGACCGCCTGCCCCTTTTGCTGGCCATGGTGTCCCCCTTCCCTGGGCCCCTGGGCAGACCATTAAAGCGAGCCAATGTGAAAGAGGACCGCTTTTCCCATTAAGCCGGGTGGTGAGGATCTCAAGGGGTTTAGGAGATGTGGTTTGAGCTCTTTTAGGTGTTTTGGTTTCGTTTCTTTTGACATTTTCCCTTTCCCCAAATAATTAATCTCTTAAGTACAGCGTAAGTATGTTATTTGGTGGAATGTTTTCAGTTCTTGAAGAAGATAGTTCACCTAAAAATGATTGTCATTTACTCACTCTCATGTGATTCTAAAACTTAAAATTCAGTTTGTACATTACTGTGCTCTAGTTGAAGTAAGCTCAGTTTTTAAACCATATATAAAACTGACCTTTTCTATAATTTCATAGCTTTTTGTAGATTATTGCTGTCTTTAAGTGTTAATGTGTGTGAAATCCACAGAGTCTTAAAGGCCAGTGTGGAGACTCTGTTGTGTTTTTCCTTTCCTGAACGCTGTGCATCTTACTCTCGTCACTCTGAAGGTAGTCGGTATGGTCGTGGAGGAGGGGAAAGGTTCGGCCCACCCACTCGCACAGATTACAGGCTGATTGTGGAAAATCTCTCCAGTCGCTGCAGCTGGCAGGACCTGAAGGTACAGAAACACTTTTTAGTTTCACGTTTTTAGTCTTAAGGCCGTTCCACACTGAGCGAGAAGGCGAGGCGAATCGCAGACGAACTGAGCTTTCACACCGAGCGCGAAGCGATTGATCGCCTTCTGCTGATTCACGCCTGCACGCTAGGTGGCGCCGACCAGCAATGCATTTTTCCTCCGATATGCATCTCATATCGTACATGGATTTAAAATCGTCCGCTGCTCGACAGCATTAAATTAGGATAAATAAAGTTTGGTTCTACGTCAGAAACAAACTATCTGTAATGCTTACAAGAATACATCCTAAAATATGTGTAGAGGTACAATTAGCATCAATCTACACTTGAAAATGTATGTAATTATTCATGCATTTGCTTAAAACCCACTTTAAACCATCATCGAGTGCTTGTAGTAACTGATTGTGATCTATAGATTAATAACGCCACACTGCTTATTGTTATAAACATCCTTTATTGTTATAAAAATACCATGAGCTGCATACAAAACACTTACAGAAAATATATCGTCATACTACATTTAAGTCACATGTCTATTTGCTTTCATATTTCATGTGTAGAAAAATGTTTCCCTTGATTTTTATTTATTTTTTTAATACGGAATATCTAGAGAGTGAACGCGCTCTGACTCGTGTAACACTCACACACATGGAAGAAAATGGACAGTGCTCTCCAGATCACATAATTCAGTGGAGAATTAATAGAAATTATATTAAGAACATGTGAGAATAAATCTGTTCTCGGATAAGAACTCCTCTTCTCTCTCAGAATACTCTTCTTCTGTGTTATTTGTTTACACTGGTTTTCGAAACAGCGCCACTACTCTCACCCTTTTGTGCAACAGCAGCTGCTCCAGACACGTGATCTAAGCTCAAATGTAATTGGACAGCCCGTTTCATCGCGGAGCGAATGATTGTGCCTGGTGTGAATAGTCCCATAGGGATCTATTATTTCGATTCAAAAGCGTCATCGCGCCAAATTTCGCGTTCAGTGTGAAAAGGCCTTTAAGTGTTATGTTTGCTGAGGGAAGCCTTACTATTATTGTTGCATGTTATGGCTGCCAATAGCCAAGTCACTTCTTTTCTCCCTCTGTATTAACCCTTGTGCATCAATTTAAGATACATTGAGGTCCTTAAAGGATAAAAATGTCTGTGTTAAACAAAGGTCATTAGTAGGGATGTAACGGTATTATTACGATATTGTCTTGTGGGCAAAAAGTGTAGTTTTTCAAATATATTTAATCTTATTCTAACATAAAAGGTCTTTATAGTTGTGTTTTGGGCCATTATGCTTTGGCACAGTATCTGTCAAAGGAACTAAAACCGAAAGCACAATATGGCTTAATCCCTTCATCAAGTCTGTTTTCGCTGCGCATTTCAAAGCGAAGCGCACAATCCGTTCAGGCGATCAGCTCATGATCTGGTGTTTTCCGCGGCTCAGAATTAGGGTTGGGCCGATAGACGATGCCATCGTCCATCGCTGATGGCTGACAGACATCACGATGTTAAGCTGACACCGTGATTAACCCCCCCCCGCAATTCAATGCATTCCAGTTCCGTGTTCGGAAAGGAAATTAAGTGTACTACAGAAACCCTAAAGGGAATAAATAGCCTACGAGATGGGAGGATAAACATATATTTCAATACTTTTCTCGCAATTATATCGTTGGGTAAGTATAGGCGACTGTATATAAATTGCGGGCATCAGGGAGCCGCATATTGAAATCGCTTTTGATTGCGCGCGCTCATTTTACTTTCACTTTCACTTTTGAGATTGGCGATCACAAGGACTCTATACTATGGAGCGGCAGTACTTACCACACATTTGACAAGATTAGATGTTTGTCATTGGTGCTCAGGATCTGCAAATCATTCGCCATCATCCTATCACAATGAATGTGCTGTGAGTTTACCGCGTGTTTGGGAACCACCACCAGTTATTTTCACAGCAGATGATTACTGCATTTTACTAGATTTGCAGTGAGACACGTTTTTGTAAGCCTGTTTTCACTGAAGCTGGAGTTTTCCGTCAAAATATAAGCTTAAAGGTGCAGCATGAATTGCTGACAGCTAGTGGTTTAAATGGGTAATGCTACTGCAGTCCAAATTCAAAATATCTCTTTCAAGTGTAGAAATTAGGAAAGAAGTATTGTAATTTCCCTACTGTAGTGTAAAGCAAAAATAATATACCTATGAAATATTAATTTTCATTTATTTTACGGTGCAATTGTTTTACAATATATGGCTATTACTGTATAGGAATAACTAATATAAAGTTGTTGTTATCGTTATTATATTCTAATTTGTTTGGCTTCCTAAAACACCAGTGTGAATGTAATTTAGACTGAAACAGTATATCACAAACAAAAAGAGGGTTGAGTTGCCTTTAAAGTTCAGGTATAAGCAATTCGCTGACATTCTCCTGAAGTTTTCTTAGTTAAGATCATGGGTTAGAGCTCTTAATTTTTAACTATCAAAAGTGCATTCGAATAATTTAATTTTAAAATGTGCAAAATTGTCATTGTCTGTGACTAAAATGGTCGCATTTGCGATCCAAAATATTAATTTGCGAGTTTATTTTTTTTTTTTTGCGGAGGTCGCCACTGCCGACTATATATATTTACATGTTATGACTTAAAAATGTGCATGTAATGCCTTTTTTCCTGATTGTTTTGCGATCACATCTTTTGTTATGTTCACGTATTAAACTGAGACGATGCGCATCAAAGTTTTAGTGGAAAAAAGAGTTTCAAACAGTCCTCATCTCTGCAGCACAGCAGCGCTGACACACACCTGATAAACGCAGCTCAGTTGTGCAGCGCGAGAGAGATCGACATGACGGAGACGTTGCGCGTAAAAGTGCACAACTTGAACAAACTACAACAGGTAAAGCTGTCAGCTGTGTGGATATTGGCAATATCGTTAACAATTCTCGTTTATAATCATTACTAATATGGATTCTTATCCTTACTCGATTTGTTTTGTCTGGAGCCCTGATACCGTAGACTTTATAAAGATATTATCGTATCGTGAGATTTTTGATATCGTTACATCCCTAGTCATTAGTGTTATATTTTTTTCTGCTTTCACTGACATTTTGTTTACCAACATCAGTTCTGATCATAAGTACTAAAATAATTTTTCAGGATTTTAACCCTTTAACTACCAGCTTGTTTACATAATCTCACTGTTATTGTTCATTTTTCATTTACTAAATGCCAAGCAGAATTTTGGGTGGATTATTATAGTCTTGGATAAGTCATTGATTAGAAACATCTTTAATATTTTGATGCATCTATTTATTTATTTTTTTCGTGAAGAAAAAAACAACTACCATTCACACAAATTTCTCAGTACACGCATACAATCTACACTCTGAAATCCATACACCCACAAAATAATTGTAATTACATAGTTTCTATTCAACTGGCCTGTTTTTCCAGCAGAAAAAAAAAAATCGAATATTTGCTTCGTAGATCAAACCTGAGAAAATGGTGCCATCAGGTGGAAAATAATAAAATAAAAAATATATATAGTGTAATTTTGAAGCCTTGCCAACAAAATTAAAGCCTGTAAACAAAGAATGCACGAGTTTATGCTTAAATGGCATTGAGATTAAATATTGCTGTTTTAATAGGTTTCAGTCGGTACATTTTTGTCCTTAAGGTCCTGAGTATAATCTTTTTGTGCGTATTGTAAAATAGATTTATGAAAGGAAATAATAGTGAAATATTAACATTTCAATAAAAACACATTTTGGCAAAATGCATGCTTTTTGCATTAACACAGCCAAAAAATAAAAAGACCCTAAGGATGCACAAGGGTTAAACTATTATGTACTTTAAGCCTTTAGGAAGTCAGTCCTGTAAACATGATCAGTGATTTGTTCTTGAGAGTCACTATCGTGTCACGGATTCACAGGACTACATGCGTCAGGCTGGTGAGGTGACTTACGCAGACACTAACAAGGGCCGCAAGAACGAGGGGGTCATTGAGTTCAGGCAGTACTCGGACATGAAAAGAGCCCTGGAGAAACTGGACGGCACCGAGGTCAACGGAAGGAAGATTCGGCTCATCGAGGACCGGCCTGGTGCCAGACGCCGCCGCTCCTACTCTCGCAGCGCCTCCAGGTGCAAACAAATCAATTTTAGAATTGAATTACGTTCTAATGTGGGAGACATTTAACTGATAGTTAACTAAGACTTTGCATGTCACAACTTGATGTCAGGATATTAGTAATAGGCTAAGTGAACTTTGCTTGTAGTAAAAGCTTCTTTAGAGTTTCACAGTGAACACGTGTGTGTGTGTGTGTGTAAAGTTTCTTGCTCTCATCCCTCAGGTCTCGCTCCAGGAGCAGGAGGTCTCGCAGGAGCCGAAGCCACAGCCGAACCAGTAGCCGCTCAAGGTAGACAACTCAAGTGAATTAAGACTTCAGTTTTCCACTGTGTGAACTTGAAGAGAAATAAAATATGACTTTCTGTTTTAGAAAACATTTAAAGCTCTGGTTGGTTGTGTGCAATAAAATGCTTTCATAGGATATTATACAGAAGTCCTTCTTAAGCTTTTATTAAAAGTATTCTTAGAAATGTGTAAACAACAGAAGCAAGTGTCCATCTCATAGTCCAAATCACTGAAATCATTTTATTTTGAAACCGCGAGATAATGATGTATTCTCCTGTGTTTGCGTGGATTTATAAATGATTTACCTTACAAATCTTATGAAATGGCGCACGTTGCATTCCCAGATGAACGTTATAATAAACCCAAACTCACAACAACATGCACGGATGGAGTTTGAGACGCTCCACACATGTAAATGATAGCAGTTCCTGTGAACGGAGCCGCTGTGAGACGCACGTGCGTAACCTACACGCCTATAACTGCATCTCACATAATTATTTAATTAAATCGTTATGCTTAATTATGATTTTTAAACGGGTTTAATATATCATGAGGCCTTGGAAAACAGTCTAATAATGTGTTTTATGGATTCTCGTCCGTGAAATGCACCACTTCCGGTATTTTGCCGGTTAGTTGACGCAGGCAAAATGAAGTCGAGGATTTTTAAAAATTGAATAGTCGAATAGAATCGACAAATCGCGACAGCCCTAAAGCAGACAGCACACAAGAACACTTGATGAAATGAGTGCTGTGCCTGCCTGTGAGGAAGAGATTGTGAATAAAAAATAAATATTAGTCGAATCTGAAATACAAATTTGCATTTGAATGCAAAAAAAGTGCAATCGAATGTTAGGTGTGTGTCAGGGAGAGTCATCAGTGGCGCACGAGATGCAGTGATGATGTAAGTGTCATTGTTGCATTTTAATGTTTTGTTAGTCTAACCCACGAGACGCGCCGCTGCTGCGTTATTCATTTAAGATATTAGAGAAATATAGAAGCTCAATGTGGAGAAAATTAGGTTAAAGGGGTGGTTCACTGTTTTTTTTTTCTAGGCTTGATTGTGTTTATGGGGTGCAGTCTAACATGTTAATGCTTATCTTTTTTTAAAACGCATTATTTTTCACATTTACCTTTATTCCACACAGCTCTGTCCCTTCTCTGAGAAACGCGCTGATCATTTCCTGCTTTTATGAAGCCCCGCCCCCAGAAATAGGCGATGGGCTCTGATTGGTTAGCTGGCCCAGTGTGTTGTGATTGGCTAAACCGCCTCTAGTGCGCGTCTAAACGTCCCGCCCCTCACCTCAGTGGCATGTGCTCCGGTTGTATTGTAAACAACGGCGTTGTTAATATCGCTTATCAGTTTGAGCCCGATTGAGAAGCAGAGGATATTATTGAAGAGGATTGTGCAGAACCTGTGCAAGCATGGCTTTTAAGGGTAGGCCTATGTTTTTTGTTGTTGTCTCATACTTTTAGATATGCTGTTATTTGTAAATGCTACTGCTTATTAGTGCTGTGTTCGCTGTCACAGAGATTTGACGATACGAGTATCGATACAGCTGTCCCTGTATCGATATTGTGGCACGTGTGCAGCAGTGGACCGCGCTTAATTTGAATACGAGAACAACGTTTAAAACGGAGTAGAATAGTGCAAGGTTTCTAAAAAATAATGAATAGAGCATAATATTATAGGCTACAACAAGGTGTAATCTGGCCGCAGAGGATCACAACCGGGGTTGCCTGATATAAAGAGACGTAATCCCCAAAACAGAGCTTCCCACTTGCGCAATACAGAAATATCTGCTAAGTGTGCTACTTATCTTTGTCAACCTGGCAACCCTGTGTACGCGCGGTCTCTCTCCACTGCGGACCACCGCGTGCTTTCTGAAAACACTGGTTAGCTTGCAGTTTAGCGATCTCCACTATTCTATTTTCAGAAAAGTGTAATTCATCAAGTTTTCATTTATGAGAGAGAGAGAGCGAGAGGCTGTGTATGTATGAATTACCACCGTTTTGCGGCATTTCTCTATTAACAGTGAAGCTGTGGCTTTAATTCCTTTAGAAACAATAATGTTTCCAGCTTCTTGATGGAAAGATAATGTAGCTCTTGAGCGATTAAGCTATTTAGTTGATAAAATTGTTAAAAAACGTTAAAAAAGTGAAATCGCAATCAACCACCCCTTTAAAACTGAAACCAAGCCAAACCGAAACAGAGCGCATATTCAGCACATTTTTAGACCGACAAATATGACTGCTGTACTTGCATCTCAAGATGTATTGAAAGCCATGCAAAGTTAAGAGTTTAAACCTTTAGAAAATATGTTGTGAATTTGTGGAGGTTTATTCCATTTCGCTGCGTCATGTTTTTAAATGCAATTTTTGTATTGAGCAATGCATAAATAGATGATACTGTTTTGTTCATAATTGTTTATGCAATTTTACGGAATTATATTTGATTTATGTTAATTTAGACGTTATGCACATTTTTATAGACCGTTATTTCATTGCATTGACAATTTAATGCGCTGCATTATTTTACTCATTGCACCCTCCTGTGGCCTCGGGAGACAAGCCAAAAGTTTCTTTAAGACTTATTTAATCTGAATAAACAAAGACGATATTTGTTTAAATTTTATTTTGTGTTTTACTGTTAAAACAAAAAATTATTTGTTGTCTGTCTTAATAAATTGGATAAATTAAAAATACAGTGGTTAAATTGAAACTTTTTTTATTGCACTTTGTTTTAAAAAAGGTAAAGGTAAAAAAAAGTCAATAGTTATCAATACTATATGAAACATTATATAATTGATACTTTTTTTTTTTTTTTTTTTTTATTTTAACCCCAACC